TGAGGGCCCTGTATGCCAACCAGACCAATCCCACAGGGCAGTGCTGCCTGCCCAGGGCTCGGGTAAGGGCTATCAGTAGGAGACTCCCTGAGCTCCTTTGGCATCTGATTACTACCCACTGCTAGTAGTCCAGGCTGGCAGTGATGATATTAACGAAAGAGGCATCAGGGTAATTACGTCCTTTAAACTGCACTCATGATGCAGGAACATCATCCAGGCTCACCAGTCAGTTCCAGGAGGATTCTGGCCAAAAAACAACTTTAAGAATTAGCCTAGTGCTTATATATTTTTGTTGTCTGCCAGATAAACAATGTGGGTTGTAAAAAATAGCTTCTCTATATAACATTTGTGGACTGCATGCATGCCATTTTCTGTGCTGATATGCTGCATCCTGATGACTGTACAGTCACATGCAATCTCTGAAATAAGAGGAAATTATCTGAAAATTATGAAGAAGCACTCAGGGAAATTATAGAAACAAATTCAGTGAATGGCACAATGAAAAGTGTAGTATTTTTCTGCTGTAGTTTATATGCTAAATAGTTTACTTCTGCAAGTGCAATTAAAATAAATATAGATTTTTCATTTATTTTGTCATAGGCTGAGTACTACTATGAGTTCCTGTCTTTGCACTCTTTGGATAAAGGCATAATGGCTGATCCAACTATAAATATCCCTCTGCTTGGAACAGTTCCTCATAAAGCATCAGGTTTGTGCTGTTGATACTGTAAATTGTGCTCCTGTAAAAATATTCTACAGTCAGTAAAGTCTATATATTTTATTATGAATTGCAGTTCTGAAGTTTATTGGTAAAGAAAAGCTTGACACAGTGCCTGGCACTGAACAGTTTGTGAGTGCCTTGCCTGAGTACAGCAGCATATTTTGTCTGAGCCAAGTCACGTGAAGCTTTTATGTGTAGATAAATCAGCAGAAACTTGTGCAAAATTGTTGTATGAGATTAATGTGTATTAATACTGTTACTTAAGTTGTGAACTTTTGAAAAACAAATTCTTCAATCACTATGGGAATACTTATCAAATTCTGCAGTTTCTGGATGTTTTACTCGGTTGGGGTCATCGCGCATTCAGCTGGAAGGTACAAGTTCTAGTTTAGGGTATTATAATTTAACGTTTTTCCCTTAGTTGTGCGTTCTTCATCCTTCACTGGAGTGTATAGCTCTACAGCAGAGACTGAGCCCAAACCAATGTGAGTGTTCCAGAAGCACCACAGCGCATAGGGAGCTGATTGGAGTAAAAAACCTTTCTGTGAGAGATTACTGAATCCCCTTTGGTCTGAAGTGGATGAATAACAGTTTATGTGATCTGTTCCAGGTCTCATACAGGGTAGTCTGTGATAGAAAGGCAGAAATGTACGTCTGGGTGACATTAGTATCTTAGTGATCATGGTTTCATGATTGGCCTTCATGTGGGATAAAATGGGAAAGAAATGAGGGATGGAACAGGAGGATTGGGCTGCAAGTGGAGCACTGATATGCAAGTTTACATCTTTGACTGGTCTTTCTTCCTTTTCTCTCTTTCAATGGATAAATTCTGAAAGTCTGTGTTTCTTATCCTTCATTTTTGGCATTTTGGTAGAATGGCATTAAAGGATTGTTTCAGTACAACTTTTCGCTGTGACACCTGAATTTAGCGTTAATGATCGCTCTCTTCATTCAGTATGGGTCAGAAGAGTGGTATTGAAAATAGATTTAGGTGAAAGGTGCTATAATATTTGTACCACAACTGCTGCAATGAAATTGTTTGCAAGCCTGATAAATGTCAAGTGAAGACATTTAAAAGCAACTAAAAAGCCATGAAGGACAAGTTCATGTTAAGCATTGTTTCCATCTCCATGTAAAGCAGGTGACATGTGGGAAGCTCTGCACTCAGCATCTTCAAATACAAGCTAGCTTTTCCTTTAATTTTTAACTATGTAGAAAGACTAGACCAAAATTACCCCTTTCTGACTGTGTTTAAGAGAACATAATCTACAAATGCAGGGAAGCCAGATGAGATCTCATAGTTGCAGTTGAAGGTCTGGTAACCATCACGATGGAAAGTCTGATTAAAGCCGAAAAGAGCTTAACCTCTTGGCAGCACTAGTACCTCAGTTCCAGAATGAATATGGGCAGGGTGATGCAGGTTGACGTGTCCAGGCTGCTGACACAGCACTGCTTTGTGCATTTCATGCAGTCCTCCCCAGCACACTGGTCAGGTTCAGGACACCTCCTCTCCCTGCTCACTGCTGATGATGAGACATTAAAAACATTAAGTGCTGAGCATCTAGAGGTGCTGAAGCTCTCTCCAAGCTTGGTGGCAGAAATTGGTGCCTTCTTTGGGTGCAACATCATCTCTGCTCACTCTCCCATGCTAGTAGAGAGGGTCAGTGGGCTGCAGGGTTGTGCATGGACTCCCACTCTTCTCCAGACCCTCATGCCTGCTTCTACTGGAATTGGTCATTCAGAGATGTCCCTTAATCAGTCCCACCCCTGAGATTCCAGGTGGCTTTTGGTGGTAGCTTTGGCATATTCTCCAAGTAGGTAAAGCAATTGCCTGCAAACTTGGAAGGCTGTGCAGACACACAGAGGGAACCTGAACAGAAGCAAAAGTCATGAGCTCCCAGAAAAAAGGGGATTAAACCTGCAATGAATGAATGAGTGGCTTTCTGACCTGTCTCCTCAGACCTGAGCCCTAAGAGATGTATTCCTGGATTTTTCCCAACACATTTAAACCCACAGCCAAATCTCAGAAGAGTTTAGGGACTTGCTACCATTTCAGTGAATTCTAGGTATGACTATAGTGCCATCACTAAATGTCTACCACATCTTCTTTCCCATTGCAATTTGCTCAACTGAAATACACATATCCCAACATAAGCACTGATTTCCTGCACTTGTGCTGTAAGATTATTCCAGTTTTGTCAAGAGTAGCATCCTCTCAGCACTTATATTGAGTAAGTTTTGATGAAATCAGTAGCTTATTTAATTATTAATTGCAATATCCAGTCCAGCAAAACTTATCTAAAGTAACTTTTTTCCAAAAATATGTAAGATGTTTTTGCAGAAGTCATACAAGAGCCTGAAAAATTTAGACTCAGAAGTAATCAGTGCAACTTGGAAAATTAAATGTAGGCTTCCAGCTTCTTAGATACTTTGACATGAATAATTGCCTCATCTGCAAGCAAAAGTATGTTTGTGTTAAGATTGCGGTGCTGTGTACTGTTGGGGTTATATCAGTAAATGAACATAGGCTCTTCTGTCCTGCTGTACTTCTAGTCCTGGAGCCACCTATGAATAAGGTGATCTGTGTGTCTCTGTATTACAGGTTTTCATCAATGGCAAACCTCTAAAACTTTAATAAAATTACAATTCTTTTTTTCAGTGTTTCAGTGTATGCTTTTATATGTATGTAGACATATATGCATGTGAATGTAAATATTATTGTTATTATTATCCTTTTAGTCGTTCAGGTTGGATTTCCTTGCCTTAGAAAACAAGATGGGGTTGCTGCATTTGAAGTGAATGTGATCATAATGAATTCAGAAGGCAATATTATTCTCCAGACCCCTCAGAATGCCATCTTCTTTAAAACCTGTCAGCAAGGTAACACTAAAGAGAACATGCTGGAATGCTGTTAGACCAGGTCACTTAACTGTCTTATGTTTCATTCAGGATAAGGGCCAGAGAGATGGAAATAAAGCAGTCACACAATGTGTAACAATTGTGAATTCTGGGCTGTTCTGGCTCTGTCTGTGCATTTGCTGTCCATTTACTACATGTTTACTAACCCTTTTCTGACTGAACTCCCTTGGCAGACTGGGTTGGAGACATTTGTCCTTCCTCCCATTCACTGCTCATCACATCAAGGACATTGATAGAGCTGTGCCATATGACAAGCCCCTGTTAGCAAATGATTTGAAGTGCTTGGAGGAGAGCTAGTCTTGCAAAAATAGGCTGAGGTTAATGTTTTCAGAAATGGCAGATAATTTGGAGAACTGAACTTCTGGGAACCGTAGTGGAGATGCTGTTTTCAATTAATACTGTCAGTGCCTTAGTTCCAACTTGGAGCCTTTAGTTCTTTAAGTCTCAACTTGCACATCCAAACTGAATGCAAAAATTCTAAATCAGAAAATTTCTGCAAAAGTTGGCTTTACCTTCTCTGTAGCTCAGATGCAAACTCTTGGCTTTGAATACAGATAAGGTGATGTGGTGAAAGTTGGTATTCAGCACTTGCAGCAGAGGACGTGCTGGTAGAAGAAGGGCACCATGAAGTTAATGTAGTGTTTGCTTGAAAAGGAGAGCACTTGTTTAATCAACCAATCTGTGCACCATAAACACTACGTAGTAAGACTTTCTGGATTAATTTGATACACCATAAACAACTATAATTATCACTTTCAACTGATGCTATGGAAATTGAAAAATCAGTGTCTAAGATAAGACAGCTATTCCATATCATGTGCAATTGTATCAAATTAACCCTTGACAGGGCTGATATAAAAAGAATGAGATTTTTACTCTTCTCCTATTAAATCTGTGTTCCCAGTCCCACATTTTCTTTTCTGTGCTCTTTTCTTTGAGCAAATTGGCAGTAGTGTGGCTTCACAGAGTGAGCAGCAGGAGCTGTTTATTCTTTGAAACCTCAATACACCTAAACAGCAAAGCTGCTTGTCTCTTTTGAAGCATTGCTGCTGCCAATTAGCCCAGAGAAAGTGGAGGAGGGGGAGAAGAAATGGGCAGAGAAACAGGAAGGAAAATGGAGGTTTAAAGGCAGCAAAATCAATCAGATCCCCTGTATGAAGTTGTGTGTCTGATTTAAACACAACACAAAACGTTTTCTATCTTTTTGTTTTCAGTTCAGTTCAAAGATACTGAACTTAATAAACTTTGGAAATAGCATTGAGGTATTCTAGCAGGGACAACAGAGTTACAGGTCTGTATTGTGGAAAACAGTGGCTTAAACAGAAAGGTCTCAAAACTCAGTTTAGGAGTAGCATTAATCCAAGTTAGCTTTTTTGTGTTATTAGTGTTACCATTTTGATATAAGTTGTTATACTTAACAATTTAGCAGTATTACATCATATGGCCTCTGAGGAAAGCTGGGGTTGATTATTGTCCCGGTCCTTTGTTCCTGGAGCCAGCTGAGAGACACAAGGATGATTTTCCAAACTCCTGAGGTATGCAGAGGAGGTCTCCCACCTTACCTCTTCCAGCACATACTGGGATAATTCCCATTTCTGCCCTGTGTCTGGTAAGGTGTACATCGCAGTGTTTTGGAAGAGGTGCTGAGAAGGATGAGCATGTCTTTACCAATTGGTATTACAGTAAGGGTGAGTTTCCTTCCTCTGAAAGACATGATACATGGTGAGAAGTTCCAATTCCTCCTGCCAGGGCCTTGGTCACTGTTTCCAGTTCATAGAATCATGAAGGTTGGAGGAGACCTCTAAGATCATCAAGTCCAACCATTAACCTGCCACTCTGCTGTAACACCTCACCTAAACCCTATATGCCCCAGTGTCAAATCCAGACACCTCTTAAACTCTTCCAGGAATGGTGACTCCATCACCTCCCTGGGCAATCTATTCTAGTGCCGGACTGTGAAAAAATTTTTCCTAACATCTACACTGAATCTCCACAGTCTCAGTTTATGATGCTTGCTTCTAGTCCTCTCATTGCAGGCATGGCAGATTGGTTATTCTTAGTTATTCTTGGCCATACAGAAAGGACCCTGCCAGACGAAGTTAGGGGAGCAAGGGACAAATTTTGTGGGAGAACAGAGGATTTGTTGTGGCTGAGAGGTGGCCACACAAAAAAATTATATTTTCCTATTTTTCTCTTTGAAACCATATGTGTTTAAGCATGCATTTTTTGTAATGAATAGCAGCTCTGCCAACAGGTGCAAAGAGAGAAGCATTTCCAGAAAGAGTCCTAGAGTACAGAGTTGGAACACAGTAAGACCAAAAAGCCTTTACTACTGTTACTACTGCTGTAAACAGCTTTACTTTCAAGGCTTGTTGTTCTTCCTCAGAGTTTTTGAATCTTGTTACTCCCAGTGTCACACGGCAGAGCAACAAAGTGAGGAGGTCATGCCTACTACTGGTCACTAGTGATGTTAAGTTCTTCTAATGGAAGTACACAGCCTCTTCTGCCTGCCTTCTTCTCTGTGAGGGATCTGGGAAGGTATTTTTGAGTGATTGTTTCTCTACCCAGCAGCCATGTTTACACAGAATTCCATAGGATTTGTTTTAGTTTGCCTCCTGTTCAATGGACTCTGACGTTTTGATGGTGGTGGTGGTACCCACCCTGTATAATCCTGCCAGTGTTGCCAAATGCTTTTACCAGTGTTTTATCAGTAATTCAGATATGAATGAGAGTTGGACGATGATATAAGACCATTGTGCAGGAATACTTTCATCTTCCTTTCTGACCTTCTTTCATTCAGCCTTGAAGCTTACTCTTTCATATGAATACAGATTGCGTGACTTTGTCACCTCACTAGTAACAGATGTAGTAATTAATGCAATGCACATAGCAGTGTAGTCTACTTCAGGCTGCAGAAATTGCAATTGGTTCTGCATACTGAGGGTTGTCTAACCAGCCATGCAAGTTGCACACTGAGTTGCCTGCTCATTTTCACACAGAGAAGAAAGTACTGGATTGAGCAAAATATCCACATTGCTCATGCACTTACAGAGCAGCAGAGCAATGAAAATACACAGTCTGTCAGCAAACACATTGCATGTTTGAACACATGATGAACCTCTGTTTGTAGGCTACTAAAAAAGAAAATAATTTCTCTTGAAGAAGTCTTAGCAGAATTTCCATTTCTTCAGCATTCATCTGTCTGTCAGCAAGTATTTTTACTGTGGTGTCAAAGAAATATATTGATCTCACTGAGAGCTGGCTGACAGCTGAAGTGTATAACATTTAATTAAGATTGTTGTTATGTTTTCTGAAGCGGAGTGTCCAGGGGGATGCAGAAATGGAGGATTTTGCAATGAAAGACATGTCTGTGAATGTCCAGATGGATTTTATGGACCTCATTGTGAGAAAGGTAATTTAAAAAAAAAACTCAACTGTCTTCTTTACCACGATCTCCACAAAACTGTATCTCATGCACTGTAGCCTCTTCTAAAATTAAGAATGGCCTGTTCTGAAGAATTCATGTATTTTGAGTCCAAGCATGTAAGAGAATTACTGTTATCATCCATGGTCTAATGGAATTATGAACTGCTTACAAAAAAATGTTTTCTCTCTAAGATAATGCTTTTAAGAAAAACTCACACAACAGCTAAGTGATCCAAAATCACAGGGAATCATCTGGCAAAAAGATAAAATTTTTCTGCTAATAAGGACTATCTGGGAAACAAAGCACAGGACTTTAGCTACTCTGCATTTGTTTATTTGAAGATAAGATCTAATTTGTAGGCAGGCTGAAAATGAAGACTGAAAGCTGAAGGAAAGCATTTCTTTTTCCCCTCCATTAGTGGCTAATAGCCCCAAATGACATTTCCAGGAAAGAAGGACCAGGAAATCGGTGTGATTTGGCAAGGAAACTAAATCTTCTTCCTGACTCTCCCTTCCTTCTCCCCCAGTGGCAGTCCCTCCTCGAGTGGCTGGAAATGGAGCAAACCATTCCCACAGGCATCTTACTCCAATACAATCCTTGACTCCCAGATATTCTGACTACATCAAAAATATTAAGTACAAGAATCAGGGACTGTTCTCTGACCTAGAGGCCAACTGGCACAGCTTATGTTCATATGTTTATTAAACTCTTACCCTCCAACAAACCCACTCCGAACTCCTTCTTGGGAGGAGCCTGTGGCTGCCAGTTGTCCCAGGACCATGCCCAGGAGGGTTTGCTGTTTGGCCAGGGACAAAGCTGAACCAGGAATGGCACCAACCATTTCCCAAGATGGATGGTCTAGTGTCCCCATTTGGCCCCATTCTGTTTATAACTCACTAGTATGGACCCAACCTTGCTGCATGTACCAATTGTGGGCAACCACAAAATGAAGCATTCCCCCCTAACATGCCTCCCTGAAGAGCCTTGCGGGGTGGCCACAAGGCAGAGAGGGCTTGGCACAGCACAGGGGCTCCAGATAAGGCTCACAGGGTGCATGCAGGACAATTTGGCCGTGCAACAGGCTTCCCTAGCCTAAATTAGGTAGCCATTCTTATGCTTAGGTATGCAGAGGGAGAAAGGAAGGTTCATTGTAAAGCCTGCCTGGAGCCCCACTGAGTTACTGACTCCTCTGAGACAGTCCTGCCTGCACAGTCGAAGCCCCAGAATCTAGTTATAGAGAGGACTTGTCTAGAGGGATTTTAAGTATCCAGAGAGGGTACTTTGCTCTCCCCTGTCTGGTATTAAACTGTGCAAGAGGCAATTGCTGCTTACATACGGAACCAGATTTGAACTTAATTTATCCTTCAGTTTTTAGTAGCGCTGTACACAAATGGCCAGATACAAACCAGAGATGTAATAGATTTAACACACTAACACAGGCACTCTGCAAAAGTGACTTGGCACAATCACAGCAGAAAGAAAAGTAGCTTAGAGAGTCAATGCACTGTGTATTTAACTAGCCAGTTGCTATCACACCTGTAATATTTTTTCTGCTCTTTCCACTCTTCAGCACTGTGTGTTCCTCGCTGCATGAATGGTGGACTCTGCATTACACCCGGCCTCTGCATCTGCCCCCCAGGGTTCTATGGCATCAACTGCAACAAAGGTAAATGCCAGATGAAACCCCCCAGGTTGCATCCAGCAGCCTCTCTTTAGTCACTTGTGGTAGTTTCCTTCTGGGAGTGGATTTTGGAAATTCAGGCAAGGAAAAAGTAAGTGAGTTAAAAAATTTTGTGATCCTTCAAATAGATGCTCTAGCACAGCCTGAAAGCTGTTGGAAGAATGTAGGGATTTGCAGTGCTTTTGTAGCTGGATGTACAGGCATCCATATACTCCAGCTTTTTGAAGGGTAATTTAGATAACTGCTTCCACTGATCCACTGAAAGCTGTGGGAGAAAAAAATAAATCTCTATTTGAACTCTAGTTTCCTGTAGTAAAATTAGTTTTACTAATTCTTTAGTACATTAATGTGCTGTATCTGGACATATGAAAAAATAAGCAGGCTGTTCATTTTTTGTTGCTGCATTGTGGCTCATGAAGGATAAAAATGAACAATCTGTTGTTCAGAACAGTATTTTGGAACAGTCCAACCTACCATGTAGAAAAGAACAAGCAGTGTCTCGCAGAAATATATCACCTGTTCAACGCAGAGCAGAATGTCTTGCTGCATTCATTGTTGCAGAACTGTATGAAGTAAAGACTGAATGCAATAGGTCCTAGAGAACTTTGAAGTCCAAGAAGGGTCCCAATACTTTGCACAAACTGTTGTTATCAATGTCCTCCTGACTTTTATCTAGTCTTCAGACTTTTACCACTTTCAAAGTGCACTGGAATGAAATGCTCCCAGTGTTCTGAAGGATTAATGGGAATCCCACCTGTCTGGTGAAAAGTCACATCTAACACAATGCAAGTGATTCAGCAGGCGAGAGACAGAGCATTTGCATCTATATCACCACACAGAAAAACTTAAAAAGGTTTCTTTCTAGTCAAAGTATTGATTAGGAACTGTATCCTCTTGTAGAAGTAACTTCCAGTCCTAGGTTGTGCTCGTTTTATCAGACACTGGCAGTTTCAATAGCAGTAGTACCTTGATCCTTCAACAAAATTTACATGTGAGGATTGATAAAGATGTAACTGTCTGTCCTCAGGGAGCTCATTGCTGTATTATTCACTTGTCTCTTTCTGTATTGACTTGTATGTGTGCCTGTGTAAAGCATTATGTAGGAATAAGTGCATTTCATTCATTCTTTGTAAATCAGAAGAAAAGAGGCTAATCCTACTTTTTGAAACCTACTTAATGTTTATTTATAATGAGCAGCAGAAAACACGAGGTCCAAGTCAGACTTTGTTCATATTAATGACTTAGCTCATTCCTCTTTTATTTGTTTCAGCAAACTGTACAACAACCTGTTTCAATGGAGGGACGTGTTTCTATCTGGGAAAATGCATTTGTCCTTCGGGCTATGAAGGAGACCAGTGTGAAATTAGTGAGTAGCATTTCTGTGTGCTGGATTTCACTTACATCTACTTCTTTTAGTGTCAGTGTCTGAATGATGACATGCAGCATGCTTCTGCTGGGCTCACAGCAAGGGTCTGACACGGCAGTTTGGGACCCTCAGAGTCAGATATCACATGCCTCCAAATAAACCTCCTACTGAAAAGTTTGATTGATTGCTAGAGTGTCTCATCCCCGGCCTTGTTTTCAGGCTTGGTAACAACCCTCAAGCCCTAAGTATGCAAGCAATACCCTGTGACAGACAGATGTGCTGCTGTGCCAAGCCTGTGTGGAGTAACTATTTTCAAACATTACAGCAAATCACACTTGGGTGTAGGAGATTAGGTTTTTGCCCACACTTCTGAAAGGTCAGCTATAAGTTGGAAATGAAAGGGTTCGAGGCAAAAAGAGGACTGAACCATAATAGCTGAGACCTTTCATGTAACATATTAAGTTGCACTCAACAGGCAACTTGAGAATGTACAACTGAATTGTTCTTTATTTTTTTTAATGCTTTAGTGTTTTGAAGTTAATAAAGATTTCCCCCTTGATATAAATTCAGATGACATGCCACAAGAACAACAGTGTGGGTTTCCAGTGGGTTTCCCTTTGCTTACATCAAGTTCAAATTTCACACTCTGACAGAACCCCTTTTTTTCCTTCAGTCCCCAAAGTTAACATTGTTCACATTTTTCAGACGAAGATTAAAGTCCCATTCAAAGAGAAAAGCATGTCTTTTATGTCAGTGGTGGGTTTTGGGGGAACAATTCTTAGAAGTGATATTACAAGATGTTTACTTGAGGGCAATCAATTTAATTCATCTGTGTGAGGAGCTGAAGCTCATTGTTGTCTACTGCTGCTTAGGGTAGGTGCAACTGCTTTGACTTGCAAAGGCTTACCTGTGAATCTCAAATTAAATTAATTAAAATACAGGCAGTAAACTAGTTCTTGTACAAAAGAAAGAAAAAGAATTCCAGATCACAGTATGCTGAGCTAAACTGGGATCATGTCAGTGAGAGCAAGGAAAGCTGTGCACATGCCGCAGCTCTCATAAAGCTGGCATGGCAGTTGTTAGACCATGAGTGACAGCTGCCACCACCTCTGGACTCTGTACCAGTGCCAGCACAACAGTGAAAGACTGCAAGATTTGCTAGATGAGGCTTAGAAACACCAGAGGAGAAACACAACTCAGTCTTTTCTGAGATGCAGGGCAGATATATTCAGCCATGGTGGGTCTTAAAATAACAAGAAGAGAAAACCTTTTGACAGGCAGAAAGCCATCTTCTGAACACTACAAGATTTTGATGTGTTTCTTCTTTTTTTTTTATTATTGTGTAAAGGTTTTGAGTGCTTATCTAATATTTGAATCACTCTGTAGACGCCTGGGAAATGTACTGGACTCAGTCTACAATACTAGCAAGCATTCACAGTCTTCCAGATTTTTTCTAGCTATAGGTATGCATTGTCTCTAATTAGTGTTTCACTTTGAGTCCAGAGAGTTTTATTTTGGTTTTGATTCCTCCCTCATTTTTCACCAACTGTTTTCTTGCTTTTTCTGTTTCTCAGTCAGTAACAGAGTTATTACTCTTTCCTTCATTCTGTGACAGTATATGAGTCCAAAGTTAATGAACATTGCTGAGTCAAATGCTTGCCTAATACCACTTGGTGCAAGTTGGTATCACACCTTTTGACCCATGTTATCCAGATTTACTTCAAGAACTAGGAAAATGCATGAATTTCCTTAGCATTGCTCCTTTCAGTCATTAATTACTTGAGATGCAAGTGCTTGCAAATTAGAATACCTAAAGATTCTCTCTCCAGAGGCTTCTGCAGGGAAATTGTGCTTTTGCAGAAACTCTCCTTGTTTGTTCCATCAGCTGTTTATGAAGCTTGTTTCAGAGCTATTAAAATAATTGTATACGTTAGGAACAAGTGCTTCCTTTATATCAACAATACACACATGCATCATAGTAGTCTGCAGGAGCTGAGGGCTAAGCAAGTGCTGCCTGGGGTGTTGAGCTCCTAAGGGGACAGTCTGTGATCATGAAACAAGATTTTCAACACAGCAAGCCAGTGTTGATGCTCAGATTATCATGTATGGGTCTCTGATAACACCCTTCTTAAAATAAAAAAAAAAAGGGAAGGAAAGGAAGCAGTTTGCCACCCCATGTTCCAGTTTTTATTTGCTCACAGATTCAGGTATATATTAGTGTAAATCTAGGAAGAGCATTTTTTTTGCCTCTTTTCTGAAGAACCTGGAAAATGTAGTGGGATTAGAAAAGATGAAAAATGGTTTGGGGCAACAGTGAGAAAAGCTGCACTGGTACCTTTGGACCCCGAGGTGGCAAGGGAGTGAGGGTGCAAGTTTCTGGTGGTCTGAGAGTGCCCAGCAAGGTAACAGTGAGCCTCCTTCAGCCTGGGGGTGACTGAGCTCATGGCTGCTGTGGACCCCTTCCTAGAGATGGGTGAATTAGGTCAGTAATGCAGGCAACTTCTAACAAGATATTGACAGTCTGGTGATGGGACACTTGACGTCAAGTTTGAGGAAGGTCCTTGGTGTGAGTCATAGCCAGCAAGAACTTGAGTGTAGATTTCCTCTACCAACATGGACCTCCTCCATCCCAGACAATCAGGGCCAACCCAGCCTTCCTACAACAGTGCCACCAGACCCAGCCTCTGCCTTTGGCAAAGCATGTACTTAAGGGAAAGTAATTTCCGGGCCAAGAGCCTTGAAAAATGTCTGCCAGTTTTAATTACTGTAGCAAAGTTGCTCTGTTCTTTGCAAACAGGAAGGAAGGACATGCTTTTTTAATGTGCCTTGTTTATGAGCTGCCATGTGGAACATCCCTCATTGCACCATCCACAGCATCATGGTGATCCACAGCCTCTGTTACGAGCTGACAAGTCCAGCCAATCTATTGTCTGCAAACAGCGGCCATACCTGTCAATTCCTGAATATCTTACTGCTCTCAGATGCCACCAGATTTTCTTCTACTTGTGCCCCCTGGGATTGGATTCTGCTCTTTGCAACTGCAGAGTCTGGCCAGTGCTGCCTCCCCCATGAAGGGTGAGGAAAGCAGGAGGCAATGCCGGTTGCATGGGGGATTCTGCAGAGTCAGTGTGGCACAGATCTGGGCAGAAGCTTCAAGGTCACACGGGCTTTAGCCATGCCAAATTACTGTCATATTTTCAACGCAGAAGAATGCATAAAAATTGGAAGCACAGACTTGCAGCAGAATCTTCCTGGTGGATCCATAGTGCGCATTCTTACATCAGCATCTGATGAGTTTTTCAGGTACAAGGCAAGCTTGTCAGACACTTTTCTCCAGTAGGCACAGGGGACAAAGACTGTTTCTGTATTTTCAATTTCTAGGTAAGTGCCATCAGCCCTGTAGAAATGAAGGCAAATGTACTGGTAAGAATAAATGCAAGTGCTCCAAAGGCTACCAGGGAGACCTGTGTTCAAAGCGTAAGTACCAAAGCTACTCCATCAGTCCTTGTTGTGGGAGTATCAAGCTGGCTGTACAGCATCTTTTTTACATAATGTCAGCATTAATTGTTTGTTAGCACTAAGTGTTGTCAAAATATTTCAAGCTATTTTACTTTCTGGAATACAACATACACCAGACTTAAGGAAATTATGAAACTAGAAACATTTTTTTCACAAGTCTCCCCACAGTCTCTTCTGTAATCTGAGTTTCTATAAAACAGCAATGTGTCAGCTCAGCAATAGCAGTTTAGTAATAGGGAAATGCTTTATAAAATGTCAATACGTTGCCATGTTAAAATCCAAGAACACTTTGTGAGAGTGGTTCTGGTGGATGCTCAGCTCTGCTGTTCAATCTGAATCTCTCTGCCAGAGGCTGAGCCAGACCTTGCAGGCAAAGCAGGGTGTGGACTATTTCAGGGCTCTACACACATTCAGTGCTAAAGGCACAGATTTACTGTGAAAGCCTCAGCCTGTGCCAGGACCAACCCGTTGTGTGGAACAGCAGGGAAAGCAAATGCGTGGCTGTCTCCGGATGAAATGTCAAGAGGTCAGGCATGTGTGCTTGCTTTTTTACAGCTGTCTGTGAACCCGGCTGTGGCCTGTATGGCACCTGTGTGGAGCCCAACAAATGCCAGTGCAAAGAAGGCTGGCATGGGAGACACTGCAATAAAAGTAAGTGAGAAACAAACCCCAAGAATCGTATCCGATGTCTTACACAGCCAATGCTATACAGAAATTATTGTTTCAAGGGCCTTTCCAGCATCATTAATGTTACTGCACTCCATTTCTTCTAATCTTTAAGCCAAACAATAAAACAAAGATTTTCCAATACTCCCTAATTTTAACTACTTTTAAAAACTCCGAGTCATTTGAAAGTATTTTACCAAGATCATCTTTGTATTAAAAATTCCCAATCTGGTATCCATCAGATTTCTAGATGACTTTGTATGTCTTCCACCCATAGTATGGGAGGGATCCAAGTTCTTCAGTACTCCTCAGTAATATCATCTAGCTTTTAAATGTTGGTTAAGTATTTCTAGAAATAAAACTCTGTCAGGTTTTAAAACTGATTAAAACTTACAAGAAATGAAATGTCCTTTAGAAACTCTGGGGAAAACTTTGAGAGTTATGCAAGATTTGTGTTTAGCAGCTTCAGAGTTTTCTCCTCTTCCCACCCATGCACTGCAGCATACAAAATATATTGTCCCAAAGCAAAGTTGAATGCCTCAAAATTAATTTTTGTTGTGCTTATTGGTCCATTTACCATCCATTGTAGCAACCGATCATTTCATGGGGGTTAAAATGGTACTATAAAGCTATTTGAAATACAGTTGGGTATATCCAGAAAGAACTTCAGATTTAATTTTATATTTTGTGTGCAACAGTGCTGTAACAGCAGATCTTTATATGCTCCCATGAGGTATTAATGTTTATCACTGTTAGACAGCTATTCACATTTAGTGTTTTATGTGTCAATAATAAAAAAGTTGAAAAATTTTGCAGCTATAAAACCCATTGGTCATAAGAAATGTGAACCTTACACTGCAGCATCAACTGAATGTTCTTTTCTATTAAAAGTTGTGATTTGTATCACATCAAAATGTATTAGAATATAGTATTTTCATTAAAAACTGAGTGTTATCTAACTAAAATGGATTTTACTAGGAAAAATAGGTTCAGGGAGTCCACTTTTCTGTTGTTAGGTAGTGGATTTGTGTTTAAGTATTTATGCTATTTTCTGAAGGAGAAATACCATAAGTTATGGTTAGAAAAAAGAAATGAGCCAATATGAACTGCAATTCAAAAGTTTAGTATAAACTTTTTCTTTCCGTCATACTCTTCTTACAGAGAACTCAGATACCAAGTGAAAAAATGCATACTGTAGGTAATCACTCCATAGAAGTAATTATCTGTACAACAAAGCCAAAACTCATACCTGCCTTGTGATGGGTCAATAGTCACACATAAGTTTCAGCTCCAAGGTTGCATCCTTCATTACTCGGAGTTTGGGTACAGTCCTGCTGTGTTTAGTACTGCAAAACTCTTTTTGTATTCAGCAAAGAAACCGAGAATAGGACATTTGGGTAAAATTCACCCTCATTTTAAGTGTCCATGTAAGGCTTCCATTGCATATACATGTGCAATTCTCTTTTCAACTGAAACCAAACATCTCCTGGTCTTGAGAGGAGATTTATAGTTGATTTGACAGACTTGATTCATATTACATCAAATGAATGGCTCCCTGGTAAAGCTGTTTTCTTAAAAAGAAGTGGTTAAAAATTTGAATGGAGGGCTCAGTTTTTCAAGTCATTTCCATGAGCTTGAAGTAATGAGATGGGTAAATGAACATGTAAAGAATTATGACATAATCCTTTGGATTCTGTTTTTATTGTTTGCTTTCATTTTCCACAACAAAGCAGCTCTACTAAGCCTGTTTCAGACTGCTTTTTTTTCCTCCTAGGTGTTTATGGTCACTGCTGTTCTTTCTCTTTGCATTTAGCCATAAACCAAAGCCCAGCTCAGGTAGCTGGTGCAGATTCTCCCTGGGGTGTTGCTTATGCCCCATCTTAGAGCCTGTTGCTGGCAGATCATCATGACTGTCACCCACCTGGCATGGTTGGTGCACATGTGAACCCAGGGCTGAGTGGCAGCCTGGATGTGCTTATAGTCCCATGGGCTCCCTGGCCAGGTGAGAGCATCTTTCTGCCTGGCAGGATCTCATTCGTCCCAGGGGGTAACATAGAGGCATGAGTTCTTGTGTAAAGCATAGCAAAACCCTTTGTTCAAATGGAAAGACTGTTTCCACTTGAAATATTAGCTGTGGATCACAAGCCTACTTCTGTGGATTCTTTTCTCTTGAAATGGATAATTTTCCAGGATATGGAGCCAGCAGTCTGAGCGCCTTGAGGCCAGCAGGCAGCAAGCACAGGCAGCACATGCCTTCACCAAAAAGGGCCGAGGAGAGGCATGTTCCACTGGAATCCAATTATATCTGGTGAACTCCAACATCTGAAATGGTTCGTGTTACACAAAGTTCATAGCCTTCATTAACCTCTCATGGATTGAATGTTAAAATGCTGTTCATTACAGTTAAGATTACTGGCTGGAATTTTATTAGCTTCATTATAAACCACTGAGCTGATATTTACTATTCCTTTTAAGTTTTATAAATACTTCTATAGCATGATTATATAGGCTGCTTCTTTCAGTGCTTTGGATGGTGTTTTGTACTATACTTCAGTCAAGTTTAAACTTCCTGTTTTGATTATATAGGTGCAAATATTTTCCAAAAATTAAGTAACAATTCTCAAGCAGAAAACCTTGTAGAATCTTTTCAATGACTACAGATCTAATTTGCCTAAGACTAAAGGTGCATTTTACAAATTTTTACAAATGGTGTACTTAGACTTTTCCCTAAGAAAAAAAATAAATAAGTTGCCTAATTTAAAAACTGAATAATCCAATTTGATGTTATTTTTGGACATAGAGTTTTGTCAAGTACTGTGTATTAAAAATACACTGCAGTGCTGCCATTTAACCAACATAATATATTGTAAAGAAAGAAGAGCTGTAATGTATGAACTTTCTGCATCAGCTTGAAGCAATATAATATATTGTAAACAAAACAGCTCTTATGTAATAAGCTTTTTATACTGATGGTTACGTATAAAATAAAGATGCTTCTTTAGTTTTTCGAGTACTGCACTGTGTGTCCTGCTGCAGTCTGTCAGCACTGGGTTGGGATGATGGCTTTTCTAGAGCGTCCTCAAAAAGCAGTGGCACAGTGGGATTTGTTTCTCTGACTCTGCTTTTAGCCCCACAGCTCTTGAAATATATTTCAGAAGAGCAGCTTCTCATTGTGCCTTTGCCAAGGAGGGGATAGCACTGAAGGCCAGGTGTTTCTTTCCCTGCACTTGCCCTCCACCACATCATCTGTGCCCCCTGACACTGCCAGCCAGTCATGCCAAGCCGTTGTGCCCCATTCATAGCACCTCTGGTACCTGGGATATCCTTCTGGGGGCTCTGGCCATGTTCCCTGTTCAAGGGTGATGCTCCCATGTCATGTTGTGATCAGACTGTAGTAGGTTTGCGTGGTTCTCCAGGCTAAACACCCCCAGCTCCCTCAGCCTCTCCTCATAGTACTTGTGCTCGAGTCTCTTCACCATCCTCATTGCTCTCCTCTGGACCCACTCCAGCACCTCAATATCCTTCCTGAACTGAGTGGCCCAGAACTGCACACAGTACTCAGGGTGTGGCCTCACTAGTGCCAAGTACAGGGGAAGTGTTTATGATTAAAGAAGGAGGTCTGCTGAGCACATCTCGATGGGAAGAGGAAAGCAAAATATTATGTTTCTTTCTTACTCTGCTTCCGCTCCTAGCAAAACACATTTCTTTTATATGTGTCCTCTTCAGCATTCCAGAAAATAGAAATGGAATAATTACAAGGAAAAAAGTGGCTAATTGGGAGGTATGCTTTGTCCGTCACACCCAGCAAAACTAGGGTCCCAAAAAGACAAGCTAATGAATGTCCCTTTGAAAAAAAGATGGGGGGAGAGGGAGGGAAGCTTTTAAAAACCTGGCAAGCAATTTACAGTAATTATAACCTCATCCATTATAAATGTCACCTTCCTATCCATTGTGTAACACTCAGGTTTCGTCCTCTTTTAAACAGATAGTGATACAACACTGCTATTTCATATATCTGAAGCTTTAACAAAAACAAATGATTTTGCTGTGAAACTGAAGTGCAGCTGCTGCCTCACTGTTTTGGATCTGAAAACACAGCTACATGGCACAAACTCAGCTTGACACTTTTACGGGTTGTATTTGGAGCCTTGAAGCACCTTCTGCTAAACATGTGGAGGTCTGTTTGACTTTCAGGCTGTTCTAGGTCATCTGTGTTAGCCAAGCCCTGGAGACTGTCCCAGACTCAGAGCCATCTCGAGTTGTTTGATCCAGCATGCTTTTCACAGTTTAGCAGAGCTCTCCCTGCTTGGTTGCCCATCTAAATACAGAGGAGAGCAGCAATGAGAAGCTGACAGTGACTTTCTTCCCTTTCAGAGTACTGAATCATTGCTGACATGAAAGGGCAAGAGAGGACATCACAGTGATGCTGATGGAATTTTCTATGACAGAATTAAAGATCTTGCTATTAAAGGGGTGTGGCACTAGTTCGGGGGGGGGGGAAATCTGCTTTCAGTATCCATATTTCAAAAGAGATCTTGGAAAATTTATGAGAATTGAGAAGAAAGTTGCAAGAGCTATTCAGAATCGTAGAAAAGTGTATGGCACAATGAGAGACTTCAAACGAGTTTCAGGAGGACTGGCTGAGCTGCCTGAAACACTCCCTGCAGCTAGAAGAGAGGGCTTTCCTTCAGCCCACACACCTTCCTCACCAGGAAATAAAAAGCAGTTTTGTGCCGGGTAAGTGAGCTTGACCAGCTCTCCATCACATCAGCAGAAGGGAGGAGGTCTTCAAAAGGTATCCCAGCCATGTTCTTCAGCTACTTGCAGAACCAACTGCCCTTTACAAAAGTGCCTACTGGGGCTGACAAGTTGAATCTAAAGATATTTCAAATGGGATCCAGGGTACATGCTATTGTCATTGCAGTAAGTAACTATTAGATTTTACCTGGGACTGAGGCAGATTCTTCATCATCTGGTCTTAAATGCAGGGCCTTCTAAAAGCTACATTATTTGCTAAAAGTTAAGTTGCAGGCTTCATGTAGAAATGGCAAGGTTTTGGTTCCTTCCACACTGTGGTCACTTAAGCTTTGGTCTAATAGCTTGCTCTGGTCTTAAACATATAAAGTGGTGAATAACCCTGCAACTGAGACCGAGTCCTAATGCAGGTATTGCATTTATGAGTGCCTCTACAGTTTCACTCCAGAGGTGAAGGAAGCTGAATCATTTAAGTCACCTACTCACTCACCTTAAGTCATGGTGAGGTGCTATTCATACACCAATACTTGGTCATATGGCATGACTTCAGCACTCATGGTCATATCAAACCCTAAAATGTATAATTGAAGAAGAGGAGTCTTTTTTATTTCCTTCCCTTGTTCCTGAAGTACAGTTTTCACTGTCCTGTGACAACTATTTCTCCTCTGCCTTTCTCTATGTGAGAACTGGGGATTGAAAAAATCTATTGTGGAGGAGTTTTGAGAAACTCCAAAAATTCACATTATTTAAAAAACAGGGACAGACAAGAGTTTGTAAGGACAAAGAACAGCAGCATGTCTGTGATACAAACCTTTGTAGAGGCTACTACTTGGGAAAGCCCACAGCAGAATGAATGTCTCAATATATTTCAAATGACATTTTTTAACAGATATGATCACAGCTGTGTGGCCTTCACTTTTCTGGATACCAAATGTGTGTCACAGGGGGTTACGTGATTGCTCCTGTGTATCTTGGCATGTTGAGTTTTGCAGTCCTGGCTCAAATCCACCCGGGACAAGTGTTGCCTTCATTTGCTGGCAGATCATTCAAGGGATCTTTCTGTGCAAGTGACAGCTGAAAGGCATTAAATTGTACAGTAAATCATTTAACTGGAACCTAGAATGTGTGAACATTGAACCACAAGCTCTGACAGAAGAAAATCAGAATTTATTTTGTGTTTTGAACAATTTTAACATTAATTGCCCAGTTTAACCACATATAACAAGTATAATCTGCTCAGTTTTCACCAAGGTCTTCAACTGGATATTATATACCTCTGTGGTGGTTTCCTCTAATTATTTGAGGTTTCTTACTTGGGAATTCTGTTGTTAAAATGAACTTTATTCTCTTGAAATGTGACAGAATACTAGCTGGGGAAAACAAAATCTCTCCACACAACAGTTCAGGTTTAACCACATATAACAAGTATAATCTGCTCAGTTTTCACCAAGGTCTTCAACTGGATATTATATACCTCTGTGGTGGTTTCCTCTAATTATTTGAGGTTTCTTACTTGGGAATTCTGTTGTTAAAATGAACTTTATTCTCTTGAAATGTGACAGAATACTAGCTGGGGAAAACAAAATCTCTCCACACAACAGTTCAGTTCAGATCTGATTTCAGCATGCAGGAACAAATGATGAAAACAGACAATCTGGGATGAACAGCAAGAAAGCAATGACACTCTTCACTCCTCTCCTTGAATTCTGCACATCTTGGAGAGGGTCTGCATTTTAAATTCTGGGTTTCAAGAAGTGCTTCCTCTTGTCAGTTTTGTTTAAATAAAAATATATTCTTACAGGGGGAAAAATAGCTTGTTATGACAAATCAGCATTTTCTACAAGAGCTAATCATTGAAAACTCCTAAGTCACTGTGTTCAGGGGACTCATCCAGCATCTGGTCATTTTGTCTTAGCATAAACTCAAAAACACAAGCCTTATTCTGTAGTCAATGGGGATTAAGCCAAGGAGAAAACCAGAGGCTGAAGGACAGGGAGCTCTGGGCAAGCAGAAGACAGATGTTAAAGGGTGACATGCTGAGGCCATCCTGGGAGCTGTGAACAGAAGCCTCTGCTGGCAGGAAGGACAACAGGCACTTAGCAATTTACCTGGCACTGAAATACCAGGTAGTTATTATAGCCATTAACAGCTTTGCAGCCAAATTCAGCCCAGCTTTGCATTTGTACAGCCATCTTAGAGAAAGCCTTGGTTTGAGGGGACATCAGTGTGCTGCAACCAGCCTAGGGCTTGGAAAGAGGTGATGGCATTGAGGCTGGAGCATCCAGTCATCTACTTGCCCATCAGACTGGAGTCCCCAGGACCTCCTGCTGCAGGAGAGATAGTGCACTCACAAATGGCTGGTGCTATGCAGAGTTTCCACTTTCTGCCCAGGAAAAGTGCTCACAGAGACCAGGCTGCCTATCCCTCCTCTGGCTTTTCCCGCTCCAGCCATTTCAGTCCAGAAGTTGCAGCTTCTGAGTAGACAGAGTCCATTCACAGTCACTGGGCTACCAAACCCCTGAGCTTAGTGACATTAGTAACCAACTCCCAAACTACAACAAAATCCACAGGAACCATTCATCCCCAAGACACCACTTGAGGAAAAAGTCTCATGGACACAAGAGTGCCAACATGACCCTGCTCCAGTGGCCCCCAGTCTCTGCCATCACCTTCACCTTCTCCATCTTCTTCTTGCAGATGGACTCATTAGTACAGCACAGTAAGTAAAGACCTCGGTTCCACATAAACACCCATTTCAGCAGAGCCAAGGTACACGTATCGCTGTAGTTCCTTCCAGCAGCTGTCCTCCAGCAAATAGATAATTGGTCCCACTGTGCTCCCAATGCTCACTGGACAGCAGCACCCTACCACCACCCTACTGGACTCTCCAGCAGTCCTGACCCCTAGGAAAGACACCCCAAGTGCTGCCATGTTGCAGAGCAGAAGAGCAGAAGGATTCTGTCTGTGTGCATCTTTGGTCCTGGAAGGCACTGCCAGGCTGTCCACCACCACTCTCACAATGGTGGAGTTTCAGGCTTTTCAACTTCCAGCAGTTTGGATGCCTCCTGTGTTTGAAGCTTCTGGAACCACATCAAACAGCCACAAGCAAAGAATGTTGTTGAGGATTTATTCAGCCTGGATATGAGTGCTGTTGATGGGAGAGAAGGGAATAACAAAGATTTCTCACCCACCATTGTGATCTACCCATTTAAGAATGTATTAAAACATATTTTAAAAAAAAGAAGAGAAAGATTC